AAAACCCAAAACATGAAAGCATTTGATGTCCCCACTCCAGAGGAACTAATACAGAAACCCTAAAGCAACAGAGGTCAACATGAGAAGGGGATCAGGAACCAGTTAAAGATCAGTTAGAGATGAATCAACCTGGGTTGTAACACATTTGTACATGAAAGCAATGCTAGGAATCTCTCTGTATAGCTGTCCTTATCTCAACTAGCAAAAACACTATGTCATTCTTATTATTGCTTATTTCTGCTCTTCAACGGAACTGGAGAAAAGCACAGAACAGGTTGTTCCTGGAAGAATGGGAGGGGGGAGAGGGTAGGGCAGGGAGCAAGGGGGAGAAATGACCCAAACAATGTACACACGTGAATAAATGAATAATAATAAAAAAGGTTCTGTCAAAGAATTTTGATAAATATATTTTGATAAATTGTAAAGAAGTGATTCGATTTTAAACTATTACTTCGCTCCCTGCTGGGGGAGGGTAGATATAATCAAAGTGCATTATATGCAGGAATGGAAACAGAATCATGAAACCCATTAGAAATTGTGGGGAAAAAAAAGTGCGGGGGGGAAGTAACAAGAGGGAGTGAATATGATCAAAGTATGGAAATATCACCATTGAACTGCTTTATGCAATTAATATACCCTCATAAAAACTAAGTTAAAAAAGAAGAAAAGAAAAAAATTGGCTCCCTGCTGTGAAATGCGGAAATTGGCACATTCATACTTCGACCATTCCTTTCAATCATACTTGCATTCTTCAGGTTAATAAAAGCAGGTGTTCGTGTTAAACAGCTGATAAGATATGACTCAAGAGAGAATCAGAGAAATAGAAGATCTGAAGCAATTACCTAGAATGCAACACAGAAGGTAAAAATGTACAGAGCATGAAAAAAGCAAAATAGAATGAGAAGATGTGATACATGTAATACACAGTAGGAGTTCCTGAGAAAAAGATAAAATTTGGGAGGAGGTCTGTTATGGACCGAATGCTTGTGATCCCCTCACACCCATTCATATGTCAAATACCAATTCCCAATGTGATGGTAGTATGAGGTGGGCCTTTGGGAGATAATTAGGTCACAAGTAGGATTAATGCCCTGATCAAAGAGACTCCAGAAAGCTCTCTTGTTGCCCTCTGCCATGTGAGGATACAATGAGAAGTTGGCAGGCTACAACAGGGGGCTCTTACTATGCTGGCATTCTCACCTGAGACTTCTAGCACCAGAACTGTGTTAAGAAAACGTTTGTTGTTTAAGTCACCCAGTCTATGTAATTTGTTAGACAATCCAAACTAAGACAGCATCTCTCATGTTCAGAGATACTGTCTGAAAGTATTTCTGAAGTGTTAAAAGATGTGAGGTACACAGATCCTTTACAAGATAAATAAAACAAATTTTTCTGAAAAAGGTTATACCCTTTGGAGTTGCAGACTTTACTCTGCAGTCATGTTAATTTTTTTTTTTTTTTCAGCACTGGGGCCTCTTGCTTGCTACACAGGCACTCTTAACCACTTAAGCCACTCTGCCAGCCTGCCATATGTAGTCTTAGGAAAAAAAAAAAAGCTGGCTTGCATCCTCATCTAAGATTTGTCAAATATTCCTACTAGAGAAAAGGGAGGAAGGAACACTGGAGGTGTGGCCTCACCACACATGGCCCATGTTCACATTCAGTATGGGTGTAGCATACTAGGTGACTTAATGACCAGAAAATGACACCAGAATGTCTCTCTGTGCCCTTGAATAGCACAGAGTAAACAAACACTTAGTAGAAAGAATTCCGACCATCTCTGGGCCCCAACTCCTTAAACACTGTGATGAAAGGAACATGCTTTAACACATATCAGTAGGGGATCCTCCTGCCGACCATCCCAAGCTTACTAACTGCACATTTAAAAAGTTTACTGCTGCCGGAAGCTTTATCTAGATAATTCTTACAGATGAGAAACTGAAACTAAAAGATGCTTGACATCAAAAGTGTCATACAGCTAGTAAAAAGCAGAGTTAGAAGTCAAGGTGTAGCTCTATGACTCAAAAGTCTAAACTTGAGAAGGGACAGGGAGTAGGGGGAGAGATGGCACAAACAATGTATGCACATATAAATAAATGAATAAATCAAAAAAAAAGAAATCAGTATACTATCAAAGAATTTTAAATTTTGAAAAATTTGTGTCTCCAGGATGGTTCACCGAAAATATATGTAATTCTTTGTTTATCTAAAAAAAAAGTCTGAACTTTTAGCCACTGTCAATGTTTTCCAAGCAGAGCCTAAGTACCTCCTCCATTAAAATCATGTGGTGGCTGGCTAGTGGACTGGCTCAAATGGTAGAGCACCTCCTCCCTAGCAAGCCTGAGGCCCTGAGTTCAACTCCCAGTACTGAAAAACAAAACTAAACAAAACCCCCCTCTGGTGGCTAGGCATGTGTTTGACTTCTATCCCGCCAACATGGGGAGCAGGGTTTAGAAAACTCAATTTTAATGAGCTTCCCAATAACCATGGCACTTCTTACACTATTTTGTAGACTCTACAGTTTCACAAATTCTTTTAGAAAATAATTTTTTTTCTGACATTAAAATATTTTTTCTGACACCTATGTTCATTATAGAAAATGAAGAAAAAATACTGGAAGGTATTGAGATGAGTTTTCAGGTCACCTGTGTGTGAGATTCCACCAGATAAAGAAAAACATTTCTATTATCTGTGTATTTCCTTCTAGTCATATGTATCATAAGTTTGTCTTATTTTGTTCTGAAACTTTTGCTTTCACTTAATATATGGGAAATACTTCCTCATGCTACTCAAAAACAAGAATTTTTAACTTCTGTGCACTGTTATATTGTAGTTAACCTGTTGTTGAATGACCCCTTCTAGGAGAATTTGATGGACTTCAGTCTTCTATGGCTGGGGCATCCCAGGACTCCAAGGGAAGGGAAGGCATGAAGGAAGGGCTCTGGTTTGAAAAGAGCAGACCCTTGCATCAGCTAAAAAAGAAAGTGGAATGTGTGGGCTATAGAGCAGAGGCTCCCAGAGTGGAGTCTGGCAAACAGCCTTTAGGAGAAATGATTTCTAATGTGGTTGTAAATGTTCCTTGGTCTTGCGGTCATGATTTGAGGGCCTGTGCCATAGAGAGTATAGAGACTCTGTGTCAGGTTGTTAGAGATTCTTGGTTTCTAGGCAATTTTCCCATAAGATTTTATCCTGTGCACTGTCCTGTTATAGGATTCAAGGACTGTTACATATTTTTAAAAATACACAATGTTTTACCCTGTATTTCATTGTTTCAGAAAGAAAGTACACTGGTGGCATGTGCTATTTAAAGAGTGTTCTTTAAAAAAAAAAATCTCTGTCTTTCCCCTTAAAGATACATCTTTATCACAGAGAACCCTTTCCTGCACAAATAGATGACCACTAGCAGAAAACAAGCAAGCAGTCATTTTAGGTTCTCTTGGTTTTCCTGCCAAAGGCCAGCGCATGGAGCTGTCCAAGGTTTTATTTCTTCCCCTTCCTGCTCCTGACCCCTTTAATCATCACATTAAGAGGCGGTAGTAAGAAAGAGCACTGACTGGAGTGAGATTGCCTGGGTTTGAGTCCCAGGACAAGCTTTTTACAGCTGTGTGACCTTGAGCAAGTCATATAACCTGCGTCAGTTTCCTCATCTGTTAAAACAGGGATGGTTGTAACAGAACCTAATTCATAGATTATTGTGAGGATTTAATCAGTGAGTCTTGGTAAAAATATTTATTACAGTGCCTGTCCCCCCAAAAAGAAGGAATCTTTGCCCTCCTAATTTTTACTGTGAAAGGATTTTAGATTTAAGTTATTTTTCTCCTAGCACTTTTGCTCTTGTAAGTATTGCCCTGACAATCATGAGTCTGCAGGATGGGGAGCATGAACAGGTGGAAAGATTGCTTATGGAAGTATGTCTAGACCTGGTTCTGCCATTAACCAGCTGTGTGACCCTTGCTAACTTGCTGACCTCTCCGAACTCGGTTTCTTTCTCTATAAAATAAAGGGCTAGCAGGGCACAGTGCCTCACACCTGTAATCCTACCTACTTGGGAGGCAGAGATCTGGAGGCCCAGACCTGGCAAAAAGTTATCAAGACCTCATCTCAATCACTAAAAGGCTGGTCTGTTGGTGCACGAGTGTCATCCCAACCATGCGGGTAGAGCCGGGCATAATTGCAAGACCCTGTCTCAAAAATAACCAAAGCAAAAAGGGCTGGAGACATGGCTCAGGTGGCAGAGCCCCTGCTCAAGCGCAAGGCCCTGAGTTTAAACCCCAGTATCGCAAAAAAAAAAAAAAAAGAAAAAAGAAAAAAAAGGATGGGGGGAGGGAGAAGACACTTAAACGCCAATAGATATCCTCTATGTTTAATATACTGTGAATCGAATTCTCCGTTCTACACTCGAGCCATTGACTTGACTGCCTTGTTTGTAAACTGGAAAGATAGTATTCAGCAGCTACGATTAGCCAGAGGATCATAGCTACAAGTAGGCAAGAGACTAGGAAGCCACTAAATGACATCAGGAGAACCAGACCTGATGTATGCCAGGAATCCAGGCAGAGGGTGACATTACACTTCTTTCTGCAGGGCCTAAGCCCTGCCAGACTCACCCGGAGGAGCTGTCACGGTGTTTTGCTGGAAACCTCCGATCTGACAGCAGGATGACCAAGTCGCGGTCTCCCAAAGACATACAAAGCCTGGCTCACAGTCGTTAAGTTCGTATGAGCTGTGTTAACCGCGTTAAGTTCGTATGAGCTGTGTTAACCGCTTTCGGCGGTGGTGCCACTTCCCATCCGCGCTCTAAGAGAGATCCTCCCTGCTACAGGCCCGACCCCCTCCCCAAGCGTCTGCAATGGGTGTCCCCGCGCCGCACGCCCTCCTCCCTTCCGCCCCTCCCTCCTGGCTGCCATAGAAACTGGCCTACCAGGTCCAGGCCTGCGTCCCGGTGCCCGACCGCCCTCCTTTCCTCGCTGCCCCGGGCCAGCCCCCCGCTCCGGATTGGGCCTTTGGGAAACGCTGCGGGGCGCCTCTGTCCCCGCAGCGGAGCCAGGCGGAGGCCGGCAGACGGGGTTTGCCCTGGCCGTGGGGGTCTAGTCGGCTGCCTTGACAGCTGGGGCGCCTCGCGGGACACCCACGGACGGGCGTCTGCGCCTGCTCCAGCGCCAACCACCCCGCGCGCCTTGCCCATCGCGACGCAGTCAAGCCCAAGAGTTGGCCTCGCGACGAAGGTAAGCGAGGGGTGGCGGGGCTCGCTGCCAGCACCCCTGTCCCAATGTCCTGCCTCGGGGAGGGCGCACTTCTCCTCCCTGGGACTCCCAGGGGAAAGACGAGTTCCAGCCGGGATGGAGGAGAAGTGCGGTCACAAGAAGGTTAGGGCGTCCCCACCCCTATCGCCTCCGAGGGGGTGATAGCGCCAGGGCGAGGATGCTCGCGGCTGGGTGTCCGCGTCCTGTGCTGCGCCCATGTCTGTGGGCACGCGTCTGCACCCTGTGGGTGCGTGGTACGGTCACCCGCGTCTCTGCGCGCCCACACGTGAGCGGAGGAGGGCAGCCCCGCGCGTGGCTGCGCGCACAGCGGTGCGCTGGACCAGACTGCAAATCTGAGTCTGTAACAACGACCTGCGTGACCTCCCCACTGGCTCCAGCCCGGGCTAGAGTGGAGGGAAGTGACATCTCATAGCTGTGACCCGTGACACGTAACCTCCCACCAAACCCAAACCCCACACCGCGACGCTCCCCAGAGAAGGTGCTTCTTTTGGAAGATCCAGCAAAGTAAGGAAGAGCCTAGTCTCCCTGCCCGAATGTTTCTCCAGGAATCTTAGGAGCTCCAGGACTCGCCATACCAGGATTTTAGAAATGCCGGTTCTGATCAGTTTCCTCCAGCCGGACACCTGCGCAGATGGAGAGGCCAAGGCAGTAAAGGTGCTCAAGCCCTGATAAGGGCTGCCAAAATTCAGCCATGTGTACTTTCCCCTTTCCTTTATTCCTGTCCTTCTCTCTACCTCTCCTCTCTCTCTACCTCTCCTTCTCTGTCACCTCTCTTCTATCTCTCTCTCCCTCTCCTCTCTCTCTCCCTCTCCTCTCTGTCACCTCTCTTCTCTCTCTCTCTCTCTCTCTCTCTCTCTCTCTCTCCCCCTTCTCTTTCCTGTTTTCCTCCTCTCAATTCAGTAGACGAGAGGCTCTGTGTTAGACCTATCCTCCCCACGCCATTCCTTACCCCATTTCAAACTACGCGAATGAATCACACTCGAACCTCTCAACTGTAATTTTGACAAGTTTGGAAATTAAACAAATCACGTTTGCACTCGAGGCCGCGGGAATCCAAAAGGAAAACAAACAAAACCAGACAGGAAAAAAAAAAAAAAAAGCTCCGAGTTAAGCGTTCAAGTGGGGATCCAGAACAATTATTTGTTTATGGTAATATAGTTTTTTAATATTTGAAAATATGTATCGCACAAGCTTGCATCATCAGTATTCAATGTGAGTCAGAGAAGCGCTTCAGAAGATGGTTTCTGTTAGTGTTGCAAAAACCCTTCTAATTTTGGTTGCCATGGTAACTGAAGAAGTCGCCCTGCGCTATTGGGAGGCTGGAAAGAGTACTGTTCTTGAGGCAACGCCTCATGTCCCCTCGCGTCACCATGGTAATGAGTGAGTTTATAAAATGATAGTTGTTTCTTTTCCTTGAAGTATTCAGATCCCTATCCGTGTTTTCTATTTTTGTTTTTAAGTTTTGTCTTCTCAGAGTTTGCAATTTGTGCAACCGATCTTCCCCCTTGGACAAATGAGAGTAAACACTGCCCTCCAGCAAGACTAATGGCCCAAACAATCCTGCAGTCCGCTCTCTTCCCACACTCGCTGCACTAACAGGACAGAGGAGAGTGTTTGATGTTCAAGGAATCCTGGCCTGGAACCAGATCTCCCTCTCCACTTAGCATTTAAATTTGGAATCCTAATTAGCTTTCTAATTAGGAAATGGGGGACTGTGGGTGGGGATCCTGGGAGAGGCTATTGGGGAAAAAGCTGAGCCCAGCTCCCCACAGACTGGTGTTTGGTGTGCTGTTGAATTTGCTTAGTAAAGCTTTCATGGGTTTATTTTTGGACTGACCACTGGTAAGCGGTAAGCCTGGAAAAACCTTCAGAGAGGCCTCCTGTGTTAGGAAGAAATGTGGGTTGGATATTTGGTTTGACTGTGTGCTTTTTTCTAGTAACCAAACTGTGTTTCAAATAAAGGCAGGTCTGTAAGAAATCTAAATTTGCCAGAAATAACTACAGATAGGCCAGAGAGCCCTTCATGTTCTCATTTAGCTTACGCTTTTAGGTAGGAAGGTTTAATTTGGGACCAACAGTGGGACCATTTCAAGTACTTCAGCAAATGTTGGTGTCGGCAGAGAATGTAATTCTTTGAATTCTAGAAATCAATTTTACACATTGATAGAATATGACTGGAAAATTTGAAAGCCTTCAGACTTACATGTTAAAAGAAGAAAAGCAAAGAGTTTGTCTTAGTAGGCTCATATTTTCAGCCACACATATAGAGTTCCATTTTGAGAAACTTAAAAATTCAAATATAATGTTAAATCCAACTTCATTCTCGAATCTAATCACTATATTTGTCTGAGACTAAAGGGTCTTAATTCATTGGCTGTTTTTTTTTTTAGTTGTTGAAAGGGCAAACTGCAAGATTGGTTTTATTAAATCTATATCATGTTATTTCTTATTGTCATTCTAGAAAAAGTTCTCTAGTATTGAAGTTATAAATTTCAGAACAAGAAAACATTCAAATTACTTATGTTGATAATAGTCTACAACTTGAATTAAGTATATTATAGTTCTTAAATTATTTTCAATAACTTCACAATTAGCTCAGCTATTATACAGCATCCTGAGGAATATTAACCAGTTTTATAGATGGGCAAGCTAATTCAAAAGACAAGTAATTTCAGCTAACCACCTGGAAAATTAAGAGACAAAGATATAGATGAGCTTAGTGGTGCACACCAGGAATCCCAGCATTCAGGAGGCTGAGGCAAGAATCACGAGTTGGAGGACATCCTGGGCTACATAGTGAGTTCAAGTCTGTCCTAAGATAGATAAGGAAATCTTGTCTTAAAAAGAGGGAGCAGGAAAGGGGAATTTAAATCACCTGACAGGTCTACAAACATGAGTATCAGTCAAGAGGTGAAGAATTTAAGATAGAAAAATAAAACTGTAAGGAAAAGAGTCTCAGGTGAGGAGAAGCAGATTACAGAAAAAGGAGTAAAAGAAAAAATCTTGGTTACACAGAAGAAAAGCCAAGTCACAGAATGGGAATCTAAAAAGAACTTCCCTCTTCATCTTCATCCTCCATGAGAGCGAGCACATGACCCTTTTCCAGCAAGCCCTGGTACCCTGTTTAGCAAAGTCTGGTGTGTTACTCAGAGAATGCCTGGGAGGCCTGAGCAGCAGAGCTCACACCAGCTGCCCCTCCAGTGGCTGCACTGGCAGCTTTCCCATCTCCAGGTCTGCTGAACTAGCTGCTTGCTAGAGCTTTTTTCTCAATCCTTAGGCCATGAAGAACTTTTCTACATCTTTATTTATTGGTATCCTTTGGTCGAGATAATTTATAGATATGCTTGGTTATGTAATTGCAACTTAATTTTTTTTTTTTTACTTTTAAAAATTTCAAAAAAATTTTGTTTAGGGCTGGGGGCATGGCTCAAGTGGTAGAGTGCCTGCTTAGCAAGTGTGAGGCCCTGAGTTCAAAACCCAGTATTGCCAAAAAATTTGTTTAAATTATTATCAAAATGATGTATTTATCTACTTTATGAATTAAAGCATATTAAAAGATTATAACAAAACAATAGTCCCACTCCCCAGATACAATTACCTTCAGTTCTAAGCAGTTTGATCACTTACCTTCCTAGATTTAAATAATTAGCTTATCTTATGGTTCTTGATTTATCAATTTTAGACATATTCTATTGATTTTTTTTATCAGTGAGTATCTAATTTTCTTACTTCCACTCCCTCCAACTTCCCTTCCTCCATTTTTTTTGCAATATAATCTGAGAAAGAAAATCACCCAGAATCTCATTAGCAAAATCCTTTATTTAAAAAATGCCAGGCATGAAAAAACACCTACCTTGGAGGTGAAGGCTAAATATTTCATAGAACTTTAGCCAGAGCAACCAAAGTTTGGCTGGTTTCAGATATGGTTGTTCAAGGAAGGCTCTTTGAAGAAAGAGGAATTGTTCTTCAGGTTACCAGCTGTTGTCTGGGTAATTTGGATTTTTATGGAGGGTTGAGAGGAAGAATTAAGCCCCATGCTAGGATAGTGAGGAAGAGTAGCTACACAGAACAAGGACACAGTGGAAAATTCTCAATGCTTCAGCATCCTTCATTAATTATATCATAATTTAAATTAAATCCATGTTAAGCTTACATTGCTTTGATTGTGTTATAATTGTTCATTGAAGATCAAAGTTGTGAGCTATGATTCTAGTCTCTTTCTACACCTTTTTGGAGAACATAATTATTTTTTCATTAGCTTAATTTTTAGGAACCTATGCTACTTCTTCTCAAATATCTGAATGACTATGTAAAACACCTCTTCTCAGTATTTCCCTCACAATCAAATGCATCAATCAATGAGGAATAAATCAATTCCTTCCCAGCCCTCTACATTGGAGCCCTCAGTATTCCAGTCTGAACCAGTCATTTTCCAACACTGACGCACATTGGCATTCTGAGATTTCCCTTCCCTTCCCTTCCGTGTAGATTCCCTGTTCTTTTGTTTTCCTCATTCATGGATTACTCCCTCACTTTATGGAGTGGTTGCTCCATAAACAGTTCTAAACAGTTGTTAGAAGTAAAATTTTTAGACTTTGCATGTCTGAAAATGTCTTTATTCTCTCCCCTACTTAATGCTTTATCTGGGTATAGGATTCTGTGTTGGAAATTAAGTCCCACAAATTTCTGAAGGCATCGATACATCACTTCCTATCTTTCAGGGTTTTGGAAGAGTTCAATGCCATTCTGATTTTTAACTCTGCATAAAATTTATTTATTTTTTCCTCTCGGGAATCTTGTAAGATCCTCTTATTGTTTTAGGAAATTCCACTGAAGTATGGATTCACTTTGTATGGATCATGTCCATTTATCTAATGGGAACTTTCAACCTAGAAATGTGTGTCTTTCACATCTTAAGGAATTACAGATAGGCGTATTTGGAATGTTGTTCCATTTTCTTG